ACAAATATGATAAAATATTAATATATCATTAAACACGTTGCACATTATTGACTGACGGGTTGCACGTTTGTGTTAGTGAAATTGCACTTTAGCATAATAAGTGCACGGTCATGTGAATTAGATTAATAATATAAATACAAAATACAAAAATTGTAAATACTAAATAAATTTTTACGATATAAAAAATTGGTAAATGCAAAAAATAATGATAACTGAAATACACATTATTGAAATTTATAAATTTGAAACACATAGAAAAATACTCAGACGAAAACATACTCGACCAGTTGATTGCACATTAATGATAGACAAATTGCACATTATTGTCTATTCAATTGCACTTTATAGATTTTTATATCTTTCATATTATATTTCCAACTGTAAATATTATAAATTATTAAATATAAGTATTAAAATACAAAATGTATTTTATAATATACATAGTAATATAAAAATGTTTTGTAATAATAAATAAACTATAATAAAAATAATAAATAAAAAGATATTTTAATTATTTAGCTTAATTCCATATACAATTATACACATAATTTATAAATTAGATAGTGCACTTTATATTACGTAATGTCGCACTTTATAAAACAATACATCGCACTTTATCCCATCATTTATCCAAAAAAATACAAATATGGTAACGTACCAATAATAATATGTTGCACTTTATACAGTAATACGTTGCACCTTATAACACAACATGTTGCACAACATACAGTAATATGTTGCAATATAGCAATCAAAACAGTCCAAATAAAATTCTCAATTAATTACAAATATTACCCATGAACTTAGTTGTAATAAAATAAAAATTTTTCAATTGCAGGCGTTGCAACTAGGTCCTTATAGGATATCAAATTTTTAACACAACCACCTCAAATACACCAACGTTTTCTGGCCGCTTCCCGCCATTCAAGCCGCCGCCGCCGGCAACTGTGAACAGCCCTGCCGAGGGATGACACGTCATCACTTTGCCTCTCCGGTGTTACAACAATGGAAGAATTGCACAGTCCCGTCGACTACTCATTCTCTGCGGACGTTCTCGAAGTGGATCGACGGAGGACTTAGCTGCCTGATGCGACTGAATGTGGGAGACGGAGGATCTATGTCAGACTGTTGAGGATCGGCTGTGGGGGAGACGCCATCACCGGCGGATCTGT